GCAAATTGTTAGAGATAGAAGAATTGCAACAGGATCAATTTATTCTAAAAAGCTTAGAAACATCTCTAGAGAATTAACACTCTGCTCCAGAAAGCAGTGAGCAACATGGTACTTTTAATCAGTTTTTGTTTTCTAGCAAATAAAATCTGCTTGCATGCAGTAGGAAAGCAGAACTTAATTCTAAGTGTTCTATTTAATCTAGAGGAGTGTTTTATTAAGAAATAGTTGTTTAATGTGACTACCATGAACATTTGTATAAATAGTCATCTGTATTTAGGTACCATGAGAAAATGCATAGAAAATAAAACCCTCCTTAAAGATCTGCAGCTGAGCACTTTGATTGTAAACAGTGGGATCCTAACAAAATCTTTACTTAGCCTGGTCACCAGTCAGATTTTAGATTACTTCAAAATTCTCAATATTATGGTGTGTGGGCATTAAATATAATTTGATTTCTTAAAAGCATCGATGAATTCACTGTTCATTGTTTAATATAGTAACAGAGCTTTAAGATGTCAATAGACCATTTCCTCACCACTCATAAAAGTAAAACTTTCAATACTATCCCAGATATACCTTGTGGCTAAAACATAACTGATTATATTGGCCTTTTGCTTTTGTCAAACCAACATGGGGGAGAAGTGAACTCTACTGGAGAGATTCCCTCATAGGGTATTTTCAATCTTTAGCCTTCTCGTATTTAAATCAAGAGGGATATTAGTTCAAGTGCTTTAGCTGATCTCAGTTGCCATAATATAATGTAAGGATGAGTAGTTGCTCAGATAACCAGGACTCAAACCCAAGGAGAGCAGACTACTGACTTAACATTCTTATCTTCATTACTGTTTTGTAAGATAGCAAAAGTCCTCCATCCCTAAGTTCAACAATTGTCCACTTCATGATTCTGTTAGTTTCATTTCTCAGACTTACTGATAACTGACATAATACTGATTGCAGTTTGAAAACAATCAAATGTTGATCCTTATAGTTAAAAACCATTGCTGCCAATTGCATGCAGAAGCAACTGTGAAGTACCACCTAAGTGGGTAGCTATGTTCCATGTGGGATGAAATCCAGCAGAAAGATTCAAGGGAAGCTTTGTAGATAAGTAATCAGTTCTAGAGATGACATGCACATGGATCATTGTGGCAAGGTCTGCATCAGAATGGAAAAGTCTTTCAGAAAGATTTTCAAAAGTGAATTAAAAACATGTCCCATTGACTTGGTCCTACCTGACGTGTGCACTTTTGAAAATCTCTCAGTTTCTGGAGCAATGCTTTACTAAGTACCGAAGACTTTGGAAATGAAGGTTGCTGACCTAGTGAGTCACCACAGATATTTCATCTCTGTCCATTGCCAGGAGGAAAAGCCTCAAAGTTGTCTCCATAACTTAACCAGTATTAGCAATGCTGTTTGGCCAAAACCTTCATAGTAACCTTCTCCCAAGGAGGGAGATTAGAGACAGGTCGATTCTTGTCAAGATTATCTGCACCAAGAGACAGATTCTTAAACAATAGCCTAATAACTGCTTATTGAAGAAATTCTAGCATTCTTCTTGTCTCCAAAGCAGCATCAACTAGCTCCATCAATAATTGTATCATCCCATTCAGTTTAATCACTGGAGAGACACTGACCCAAATGGAGGCTGTAATCTGATGTTCAAGAAGCACTTCCAGGACCCCAAAAGATAAAACTAGTTTAAAGTCAGAGAGAAAAGATGCTCCACTTTCTATTTTTCCC